GAGAGAGAGAGAGAGAACTCAGACATAAAATAAAACGGCCTCTTCACTTTGTTGTCTGCAGCGCAGAGTGGAGGGGTTGCATCCTGGGACTGTCGCTTCTGGCTGTTCGCAAGCACGTTGCTGGATTTTATGAGCCTCGGGTGCCTTATCTTTAAAACGGGGTGGCTCTGTGTAAGCAACAGTAGCATCTCCTTCGGTTACCGAGAGGATCAAGTCCACCGCACTGTACCCACAGAGAGCAGAGCCAAGTGCCAGGGAGGTCTGCACTCAATTAACGCTGGTTCTCTTTTTTTAAAAATATTTTTTTTATTAATTTCAGAGAGGACGGGAGAGAGAGAGATAGAAACATCAATGATGACAGAGAATCATTGATCGGCTGCCTCCTGCGCCGCCCCCTACTGGGGATCAAGCCTGCAACCTGGACATGTGCCCTGTCTGGGAATCAAACCTGACCTCCTGGTTCATAGGTTGATGTTCAACCACTGAGCCACGCCAGCCGGGCCTTTTATCTTTTTTAGATTGTGAAAAAAAAGAGACATATCTCTCACATAAAATGTACCATGTAACCATTTTTCACTGTACAGTTCAGTGGCCTTACGTACAGTCACACTGTGGTGCGCACATCACCCCGCCCCCCCGCACCCCCCTCCAGACGTCTCATCATCCCAAACGAGCCCATGCTAACTCTCAGGGTCCACAAACCTCCATCATCCTCATCCGCTTCTCCAGACCAGACACAGAGGCTGGAAGGGGCTGCCTTTGGGGGTAAAGTGGAGGACGGCACAAGGAGGGAGTAATTTCCTATCCAGGGAGATATGGTTCTTAAAAAAGAGGAAGGGGCTGGATTTTCACACGGAAAACAAATGGGTCCAGATTTGAAACAGTGACTTCTGTGTGACCACATGTGGTTTTTAAGAATGAGAGAGAGAGAGAGAGAGAGAGAGAGGGAGAGAGAGAGACATTGATTTGTTGCTCCACTTATTTGATTGACTCTTGTATATAACGAACGGAATGCAGAACGCTGTGGATCTTAAGGGTCTCACTGATGTCTCCCAAAGCAGGCCCTCGCAGACCTGCCCGCAGCGGCCGGCGAGAGGCGGCAATCCCACTCGCTGGAGAAACGCTGGGGCTGCAAACTCGGTGGAGCCTGGTCTCCTTTGCTGTGTGTAAATGTCAGCTTGTATTAGTTCACTGACCAGACTCACTTTTCTTAAGAGCTCAATGAGCCCGCGGGCTGAGTGACTAACATGAGAGCCGCCTGGGACCCGCGTGCCAAGCCCACAACCCGTGGATAACGGAGCTTCCATTTACTCTGCTGTCCCTCTAGCCAGTGCCCTGGTGCTCCACTGTCAAACGGCGTGCGCTCCTGTCCTGTGTCAGCCAGGCCTGCTGCGCTCCTTCCGGCCATCTGGGTCCCTGACCCAGGACCACTGTGCTCTCGGAGCTGCCGCCGGCTCCCCCGGCCGCCTGGTGAGCCAGTGGGTCCCGCACAGCCAGGGCGCTCGTCCCTAGGACCAGCACAGACTCATGCAGTTTTCACAGCAGCTTTCTAGCAGCCAACCCGTGGGAACCTACAGACTTGACCCGGCTCTGGCCCCGCCTACAACCTTTCCAGAACTTTCTACCTCAAGGGTGAAGGACCAGCTCCGCATGATGCTCAGCTCGTCCCACTTGGTTCCCTTCATCTCTGCCTCCCTCTCCCCCTGCCCTGTGCTGGCCTCGTGGGCCAGAAATAGGGACTCAGGTTCCTCCCACACACACAACTTCCCTCCTGCTGCTTCCGGCCAGGAAAACGTGGGCCCCACAGCCTCCGGTTTAAAGACTTGAATGAAGGGGCCGTGGGACGCTTTCCCGCCTCAGACCTGATCGGGAAGATGTGGCATCCAGAATTGGATGAGGCCCGACAGGAGCTGAGCCCTTTGGGGGAGGCACGTGGCCACTGCCGATCTGTGGCCTCGCAGACAGGAAGCTGGGGGGACAAGTACTCTGACCTTTCTCCCTTTCTGCTCTCCAGCCTCCTGCTGCTGCTTCCTACTGACCAGAGCCACCGGGAGCCAGACGGTAGGAGGCCCCACGGAGAGCCGTTGGAGTTCCTGCAGGGAGGAGACTGGCTGCAGATGGCGGGTCGAGAGCATCCCTGCTCCCTGCCTCGACCTTCACGGGGCCCGGCCCCCTCAGCCGGGCCAGTCCTACCTCCTCCCAGCCTTCGCGCAGATGCTACCACGCTCCTGAGGCCGTCCACTGTCCCTCTGCGGCAATGGGAGGGCT